TCGAAAATTGATCCCTTTGTAATTAGTGGAAGTAAAGTCTTAGAAGGTGTTTTTATTAAAATATCTATTTGTTAGTTAGCTATTCTATAAAATCTCGAAATTTGATTGGTTGGCCCGAAGCATCCTTTTGCTGCGGGCTCCTTGATACGTATATGGAATGAAATGATTTCATTATTATGATTGATCATATAATCAATATATAGTTCAGATTAGGTTAGATACTTACGGTATAACGGAAATGAAAAATTCGCAAAAATACTATTCCTGATGGATCGGCAATACCGATCCTGATGGAGTTAAAAAAAAAAAAAACTTTATTTGAGTATTGTTTCTGATAGGGCTCTAAAAATAACTCTATTCCTAACTTTTATCATGAACGGTATGTAAGCGATTTTTTTTCCCACCCTATCAGGACCCGATCCATCTGGAATGGTATTTTGCGGAAAATTCTTTGCGGAAAATTCTGTTAAGAAAATGTAGGCATGTACAGGGCCACGGACAGTGATTTTATACAAATCACATAAAACCACAGAAACTGCATAATTACATATTGCATAATACTGCTATTGCTAAATGATTAAATAATTAAATGCTATATTAAGGTAAATTAAATCAAATTACTATTTATCTACGTACGTACGTATGTACGTATTACACAAAATACGTAACTGGTAATGTCCAAAACCGGATAGATTAGTGGAGCAACCAAAAGTTCAAAATTTAGGGTCGGAATACGAGTATACCATAGAACAAGCTCTGGAAATTAGGCGATTTTTCGATTGTAAGAGAATTTTAAAGTCTCCAAACATGGATATACGGCATAGAAATACGGCATAGAAATATGTTATAGAGATACGTTATTGTTATAGAGATACATTATAGAGATACATTATAGAGATAGCATAGCGGGCTTTCGCTGTGATTGGCTGATTATTTGCTAAAAAATAAAGTTTTGCGTCACGTTGTACAGCTACCTATTAACTACGATGAACCAAATTTTAAATTTTCTCATTTGTGGAAGGGTATTAAAACTAAGCACTTAAAATTGGGATTAGGGTTATTCAGAAGTTAGAGATCAGGCAACGATTATAGGTAAAATTGCTCGTTCGACATTTTTAATTAGTGCCCAAGAGAAGTTTAAACACACGTTTCTTGTCTTTTGGGGTTTTTTTTTGTTTTCTTTGCCTCGTAAAAATTGTAACTTTTATTACTGTAATATCTTTAGTTAAATCAATTATTTATAGATTTCTAGTAAATAATCAGGAATATGTTTTTTTTTTTTATTAAAGGTCATAATGATGTCAAACTACATTTAAATTTTTATTATTATAAAAAATGAATGGTTTGATAAAAATTAATTATACAGAATTACTGTTTTTTTTGTTAAAACTATTATATCTTCTATATCAATATGGGTCATCTTATTAATGGTGATACAAAAATAATGTATATTTTATTTAAAACAAAATAATACTTATTTTTTTAAATATAATCCAATGTTTTATTAACTAATAATAATTTTTGTACCTTTATCTCTTATATTCAAAAAAAAAATTTAGTCAATATAACCTTTTAGTAGTAAGAATTAGCTAGTAAAAATAATTTTTTTAGTAGTTAAAAACTTATATTATGCATATTACTTCTAATTTCTACTAAGTAAAAATACTCAAAAAATTCTATCATGCTATACTACTATGCAAATACTTAGTCTAGCATTAAAAAAAAAAATTAATTAATAAAATCTCTTAATTATTATTACATATAGCTATATCTTATATTGAGAAAATGTAATAATCAAAGTCTTTTATTTAGTTAGCTAATATTGTTATTGCAATTATTTCAAAAATATTAATAATATTTAAATATAGATTAATACTTTTTTTGCCAAAATTTAATATTTTTAATAGCTTCAAATTTGGTTAAGTAAAAAAAAAATATATATATAATAATTTTACCTGAAATTTTTCTATAAACTTTTAAGTTAAACTATTAGAAAGTTAAAATTTAAGAATCATATAATAAAAAGTAATCTAAAAATAGGTTCGGTATTATATAAACTTTTTAATTTCTAATTAAATTTGTTTGTATAGTATTTATACTTCTAAAAAATATTAAGATTATTAATATTGGGCCTAGTGAATTAATCATAATATCTTCTCAAATTTGACCAATACTTATCACATGATCTGCAGATTTTATAAATCATTAATCAAACTTTGAGAAGTTATTATAATTAACTTACTTGGACCTTATTAATAATCTTATCATTTTTAGAACTATGGGAGTCAGAAAAAAAATTTTATTTAGGCCGCAGTAATAGCATATATTTTTAAAATCATCTTTAAATTACCTTTATAAAATTACTTTTGATTTTCTATTTTAGGCTTTACATTTTGGCATATATGATATATGCATATATGGTCAATAATGTCTTGATAGTAAACAAAAAGTAAACAACTTTTTATCTCATTTACTGAATTTAGAAAGTAATTAAAGTTTAGCTTTAAATTATATCGCTAAAATCTACAGCCAATTTTTAGATCGCTACTGCAAGTTATGATTTTAATTATTGCGATTATTAAAATACATCTAATACTAAATTTATTATAGACCAATGTGAACGTAATCCTATCGCTCTAACTGCTAATGAGAAAAAAATGATATTATCCATTTATAATTATATTCATTCTCTTGAAATTATTAATCTGCGCCAAGAAGTTTCTCTAGCAACAGGAGTTGGTGAAGCAACTGTTGCCTATGTACTTGCAGAATTCAATAAAACTGGGACAGTTATAGCATCAAAACAAGATTATTGGTCTTCTAAAACTCTTAAAATGGAGTATATAAAAGCTATCCAAGACCTTATTTTAACTGCAAATAAAAATGAAATTCTACTTTCTCTTCGAATATTTGTTTTAGACTTAACTAAGTTTCCGGTATCAAAAGCACAACTTGCTCATTATTTAAAAAAACTTGAATACCGTTATAGTAAGGGAGAATGGCAAAACATTCTACATGAGTCTCCTGAAAATATTATGTACCATGCATGATATCTTCGTTGGCGGTTTAAAAATATTCAAGATAAAAATAAAATGCTAATTTTTTTTGAAGTTTTTCTTGATGAATATTACTGTTATATACACCATAACCGAAGTCTTATTTGGCTTCCAAAAGATGGTATTGTTTATGAAAAGGGAAGGGCCCTATGCTTGTCATTTTTGGAGCAATTATTATTTTTTAGGATCATAATAACAATCAAATAAAAGGTGAGTTAGTTTGTCAATCACTTTTTATCTGGAATCCTACCGTGAAGCTATCAACCAGAAAAAGAAAAAAAAAAAAATCAAAAGAATGGGAGACAGTTCCTGATACTGTTAAAAATGCCAATATTGTTCTTGATGAAGTTGACTATCATGGTAATTTCAACACAGAGGTTTTTGAAAAATTTTTGAGAATCTTTGTGAAATTCTAAAATCTGGCTATAGATCTTGCATAATTCATATAGATGGTGCAAGGTACCATAAATGCTGTGCTGAACCTATACTAAATTCCAACTAGAATAAAAATACAATAGCAGAATAGTTAAGTGCTCGTGATATTGGGTTTAACTCTAAAATGACAAAGGCAGAGCTTTATAAAATAATCAAAAAAAAAGTTCTCTTTGCTACCATTACTATAGCTAATAAGTTTGGTTATAAATTGTTTTATACTCCACCATACTATTGTGAACTACAACCAATTGAAATAGTATGAGGGCTGTAAAAAATAAAGTTGCTGGAGAGCGGTTGCCATCTGATGTTCTTTCTCTTCATAATTCATTGCTCTGTAAATTTCAAGAGGAAATAACATCAGAGGTTGTTGTTTCCTGCTAAAAAAAGTGTTTAAATAAAGCAAAAGAATACTGAGAGACAATTGAGATCAGTATAGGTGATGAAAGTGATGAAGATAGCAATAGTGATACTGATGATAATTGATCAATCACAAAACTTCATTGAAGCAAATAAATATAAGCCGAATTCTCTATATGTAAAAGTTTTTTTTTATTATGCATATTGCTTTTATCTACTAAATTTATATTCATAGTAATATATTATACATAAAATAAAATTTTTATAAATTTTGTTACCCTTTTAACTAATCAGTTTTGCGATTCGAATGTTTATAAAAAGTTTTTTTGATTTTCAAAAAAATTTAAAAAAAACTTTAACTTTCAAAAACAAACAAAATTTTATTGCTAGTATAAAATTTTGACTAGCTAAAATTGTTTCTTATATTTGAAAATATATAGTATTAAATTTTCACAATAATATGCTAAAAATTTTTTTGTAACAGGACTAAATAGGAACATTTTGTTAAAATTTTGCCAACGGCCAAATTTAATGTTACCTGCTATGCGTTGTTGACAGTATGAGGCTAACAGCCGATTATGCTTCCGAACAACGATTACTCTTAATTGAATAAATTTAAATATTATAATAATTTACGCAGTACTGTAACCTTTACCAAAAATGTGGGGAGATTTTGGATGTGGGGAAATTTTGATTAGCCAATCAGATTACAGTTAACTATTGACATCAGCTTTTAGAAGTAATTTGATTGGTTAATTTTTGGTCATGTGATGTAGGGAGAATTTCAACATCTCCACGTTACTAATTAAATTAATGTGGGGAATTTTTTAATAATCAATTGTAAGATGTTTTTTACATTAAAAAACTTTTGTTTGGTTCAAAATACTTGAAAATATTCCTTAAATTTGATTGGTTGGTAATGGTTTGAACCTATTACTGCGCATTAACAAAATTTGTAGAGCATATCTTGAAATTATACTATATAAAGTGTTTTTAACAAATATTCGTCTAGTTATAGTATTTTTTCGTTAAAAAACGAATTTTTTATTTTGATATTTACAGAAACATTTTCGTTAATTTGACCACTTCATTAAAAGAAAAATATTGTATATGATGATAATAATGTTGGTACAGATGACTTAGAAGAATACACATATCAAAATTCAAATCAAACGAATGGATATTCGTAAAATTAGGTCAATTTTTGATGAAACGATTTTTATGTTTTCTTTGCAGATCATTTCTTTTAAA